CTGAACTCAGCTCTGTGCCTGAACTGTCCTAACAAACCAACACCTAATCAAAAAATTTTTATGAAGGGTTACAGTTGCACATATTAACTAATCATAAGTCACTCACATAACACAAACATTTCAAAGTCAGGAAATAAAAATGAAATTTTAAACCAACTAAACTATATTCAAGGGCAAAGAACACTCAAAGTTTGCCCTCTTAGTGGACAATTATAACTGAATCATAAAGCAAGCAACTCTACCCTCTTGTTCAGAAACACAGGCAGTCCCCCATCATATAACCCTGACCTCACCCATTAAATACTGAAGATCAAACTTTCTAAATTCCTTATAGCTGCTCAGCCTGGACACTACACACCGCTTTATTCCCAGCTGCCACCCACAGCAGATACCAGCTGTGCAGCCCCATTTCCTTGTTCACAAGAACCTTTTAGAGAGTTGTGCCAGTGCCCCCTTGGCCTGCACACTCTACTCTGTTCTGCTTGTTTTCAACAGCTTTCAGAATGACAGTATCTCAGGTGTCATTCACAACATTCAAGGAAGATCTAGGGTTTCTATTGCAATTGCTACTGAATAGAAAGGATAGATTGTTGTTTATAAAACCATAGCAATCATTCTGACTCTCCCACTAATACTGAAGTGGTAAAGTGAGGATAACAGTTGCTGCTGGAAGCATAAACCATTTCCAGATACAGCATTTAATTTTTTCTCTTTCACTTAATTACTTGGTTTTCATATATTTTATCACATACAAGAATTTCCTCTTTAAAACTCTGAGGTCCTCCAGATGTACACATACTACAGGCATCCCTCTCCAGCTCTGTGCTTGTCTGAAGCAATGATGCTGTCCCAGAGAGAGATCACTGCATTGAGGAGTCACACGAGACCAAACTTGGTCTGAATCAGTTTTAACTTCTCTTGGGACAACAGTTCCTCAAAGAACAATAGTTAACCCTAGTGGCCTAAGATGAACCATGGGAACTGAGGGGTAAATATCTTATAAATCACACCACACACTTTTAAAAGTCACACAAAAGAAAAATTATTGTAGCTATAGCAATTGCTTTATTTTTTTTTTTTAACTAGCCTCACTTCCCTTAAGACTGTCATTAGATTCAGCAGTTCTAGGACTGTGAACATTCTCATGTCACTCCTACACTGAATACCACTGAGTATATACAGGCCAATGTGACACTACAAAAGTAAAAGATTAACAGCACTGACCGGAGCCAGTCAATGCTCTATTTGCAAGCACTTATATTTGTAGCTTTACAACTGTGCTTCACCCTCACCACTCCCATGTTAATTCAGTTAACTGATACTTTCTCTGAGAAGAGAACAGTTCTCCATTGCAGCAGAGAACTGGTTTTGTTATGTATACAAGTGGGGACCAGGTGGAGATCAACTGTTCTTAAATAAAAGTGCCACTAAATCATACTACCGCTTGAAAGGCTAATGCAATATTCTGCTGTGCAAAACATTTTACTATGTGCATTCACTTTAGTGGATGACAAGAGACCAGGTAGAATTATATGACCTTCAGTAGCTTATAGCAAGAGCTGGAAAAGACACTTGGGAGAGAAAACTAAGAAGCAAGGCATGTTAAGGAGTGTTCATGCTGAAAAAAAAAAGCCAAAAACCAAAAACCAACTCCCCAAAACCACAGAATCCATTAGTTGGAATCACAATTTTTCTGTTTATTTACCTTCTTATTAAGCCAGTGCCACAGCTTGTCAGTGGCAGGGGGAAATGGAAGAAAAGGGGAAAAAAAAGACAAGAACATAGTGGAAAATTATTGAAAAATGCAGTAATAGAGGAAAAAAGCAGTGACAGGCAGGCAAAGTCATCCACAGAATGAAAATGAAATTGTTCCAGACACAAAGGTAAATTGCAATAGGAAGGAAAGATCATAACAACTTCTAATTCAAGAATCTAGATTTTACTATTAACATGCACTTTTTGAAACAAAGACGGATATAAAAATTAAGAACAACTTCAAAGATATTAACAGAACTACCAGTATCATTTGGGCAATTCCAGTTTAATCATACAGAGAGCTAACATTTCTGATTTCAGAGTAGGACTTGTAAAAGTACTCTGACGAGGGCACTTTACCAAAACAACAAAACTTAACATGAGATTCTTGTTTATTGCATTTAATGCTCTCATTCAGGCAGCTTCCTATGTATTTCAAACCACTCCTATTATGTCAACTACTGTTAAACAAAATTTACATGTTTTTTTAGTGCCACATTTGTATTACAACATTCACATTCAATGGCATAACATCAGATACGTAATTAAATGTGATACACAACAGCAAATTGTAGATCAAATAAATGTATGGATTTCATATAATTTTATTGGTTGTGCAGAAGGCTCTTTGCACTTCTCAACAGTCAATTTCTCCTTTTGTACTAGTTATTTTTCCTTACTAATTCTCAGTCATACTCAAGTACATCCATCTTAAGACCTAGTTTATGTAGGACTATACTCTTAATTCTAACCATTAGTAATCAGTTAGCAGTATAATCATAATATGGAAAAGCTTTAATGTTATTACGCATCTGTGTTAGAGGTTAAGACCAAGTAAGTGAAGTTTGTTCTCCATGAAAACAAGATCATTGAATGCTCAATAAATCTAGTGTTTTTACCAGTAGCCAGAAATTCTATTAGCTCCCAATAAAACCAAAATGTAAGAACCTTTCAAATAATAATAATAATAATAAAACCTCAGAATGCTAACTAAGTTATATCGGAAGCAAGAAGCAGATTAACGGACAAACATGAACATCAGGAAACATGAAAGTAAAATATGTCACAAAGCACCCAGTTTACCAGCTTTTACTACTCATGGAAAGAGTAACAGTAACATAAAGCAATGACAAAGCTTGAAAAGCCTCAAATTAACATTATAGAATTTGTTTCTAGTTTACCTCTTCACCTATGGAATAATTTATCAGTGAAAAAAAGGTAAAGTTGTTTACTGATTCAACAACATACTTTTGGCTTTAACTTTACTTCTGCATATTAAAACCTACTATACATTAGGTTTATTTTGGAAAGAACGTAGATCTCATGGCTCTATTTCTCCACTTTGCAACTCCAATACAACAAAAGCTACAGCTCTGTTGTTAGACTGAGATTTTAGCAGAATGTGAAAGGAAGTCTTCGGTATTTTTCTATAATTTCAGCCTCCTGGAATATAATGATAATTACAATAACCAGGAAATAACATTATATGTAAAAAATAACAATCATTTTTTATTAATGTTTAAGACAATATCTGGGAGGCTCTACCTGCCTACTATCTCACCAATAGTGGTAATTACTAAGTAATTCTGCAAATGTAATCAATCTACATTTAAAAATAGGCTACAGCTTAATTCTAATCTTCAAGTCATCCAAAATTAATAATGCTACAACCACTTTTCCAGTATTTTATTGGAAAACTATTTATATAAGATCTTACAGGTCGATGGACATATTTCCTAGAATAATACATGAACTGATAGAGATTCTGCCTGTTTTCTGTGCCTGTTTTAACTACATGCTAAACTTGGTACCAAACCTTGACTTTACCCAAAGTCCAAATAATCTATTACAGTCCTCTAAATATAAAATTCTTGTATGCTATACCTACAAAAAGCATATAATAACTACACGATTCACTGAAGTCTACCAGAAAGCATGCATGCAAAATACTAGCACATTGCAATTAGTAAAGGTCTAGCGCATGCAGTTTAGCAACTGCCTATGCTGCTGCACTCCCTCACAAACTCTAATCAAACTAGTCACCATATTAAAAGACAAGTCGTCTTTAAAAAAAAAAAATATCAGTGCAGCAAATTAGTAGTTCTTGACTGTGTATAAGAACATGCATGATACCGTATCTGTTAAGTTTTAAAAAGACTCAATGGATGACAAGAGAAACCTCCCTACTCTTTCCTCCAGGAAGTCTCTCATATCTGAACTGCTGTATCTGTTGGCTCCATTGGGTAAATGCACAACCAGGAACTAAAGAATACAGTAAGGACATCTTATTTTCATAGTCCATATTTAAAGCAAGCCTGCACATACAGGCACAGCTTGACCTACCATTTATAATGAAAATGAAAAGCAATGCCCTACTTTCTCTCCACTTGATCAGAACTTCTCTTCAGTTCGAATTTGTCTGTATTACCAAGATAATCAGATGTTGCTGAGCAGTGGGAAAGAAGAGGAGCAGTTCTTTCCTTACTGCTTTTATTTAAGAAATAGACATATTCAGTAAAGCTCAAAGATTGGCATGCACAAGCAGTACTCTCCTATAATTTCTCACAATGGGTTATTTTCCGGATCATCTACACTACCCTCCTAAACTTCGTTTGGGAGAAAAAGGCATGCCAATCTAAGATTTCTTCCTCGTCCTCACTACCTTTCACTCAAAACTGGAACTATTTTCTAATCAGCCATACCACTTTAGAAAGACCAAGTAGTATAACTAGATATTTGTGTGAAACAGACCTTGCCAATGGCTTGTTGTACTTAGTCAAGAGCCCCAATACATTCTGATGCTAAGATTCAGCCTCCCATTGACTCAGTATACAAAAAACAAAACCGAAACAAACAAAAATATCACTAAGTAGCTTCAGCTCCTAGGAAAAGAAAGTACAAATAAAATACTAAAAAATTAAACATGTAATTGCAAAGGAAATGGTCCTTCAATCTTGGTTTCTCACACACACACACAAAAGGTAAGCTATTACAACTTACTCCATGAATTTCTATTCTGTGTTTGTGTATTTTCACTTCCTCTTCAACAGTGCCTATTGAAGGCAAAATGTTTGGTAATCCAACTTAAAAACAGCTCATCCATCCTTTCTAGAAAAAAAAACTTGGAAGGATGTAATTTTCATTCCTCTCCTTTCCCTGTCTCCACAAAAATTACAATTGTCAATATCCTATGGCATTGCGTCCCAAATTCTCAGAGATAAGATGCATCGATGATCCTTACAATGCACAGAATAAGCATACCCAGTAGAACTTAAAAGATGTGAAAGCATTAGTGTGGTAAGTATTGGAAGACCACATATAATTCCAGCCACCCATAATAAAGCGAGGTGAACTGTAATTAGAATAGGCAAAACGAGGACAACAGAATCATGCAGAGTATCAAATATCTTTCTTATAAAGGCTAGAAGAGCTTGAATTGCTTTAAAACACACAGAACAGACTCAGAAAGAATATGACTGTCTAAAAAATGGGGGGGGGGGGGGGTGGGGGGGGGGGATGGAGAAATGAGTTGTGCCAACACTGCTCTTTTGCCCATACAAGAACAACATGAATATAAACTGACCTTAAATACATTTAAGCTGAAGAGTGGGAAGCTCTGCTGCACATTACAACAAAAGCCCTACCTTCTTTAAGAAGAAAAGACTTAGCGGGATTAGGAAGGATACTACATCATATAGTTATGCAATACAAGGGCACTAAACTTGACAACTCATGAAATACAATACATACAATATTGTGTCTAGAGAGTTTTCTTACTTACAGAACAAAAGCTTTTAATGAGAAGCTTTGTATAATGTAAGCTGTTATCCTAACATGTTAATACTTTCCATTACCTTTGGAAACCCCCTTTATCTTCTTTATAGCTGTAGTCTGAAAGGCTTTTCCTTTTTCAAAGTCTTCCTCAATGAACTCTGCAAAACTATTTTCCTACAGCCATTCTAATGCTTTTGGAATTCAGAGCTATAAACTGCAGACAGATCTGCTGAAGTACAGATGGTCTGACAAATGTACTTATAGGGTTCAGCTCTTCAGTTATAGAAACTCTGAGGTAAAGGCTTTTTCTAAAGCAGAGAACACTTCAACAACACAGTTACTGAAAGCACATTCTTAGATACTGGCATAGCTATTACAAACAAAATAATCTATCAGGTTAAGTCAAAACCTGCAATTCTGAATGGAGGAGCCTTCGTAAATTTTATGGAGCTTTCCAACTTTGCAATTTACAAATGCGAATATGGGTGCATTTTGAGTGGGGGAGAAGGGAGGGGAGCACAGTGGCCTTATTCTATGGCACTTCCCAAATACCTTATCCCACATATTTCTTCTCTTACAGAGGGAAGCCTCCCTTCTGTACCACCACACCACTGTGTTCAACAACTATAGTTCCACACACTATAAACGAATGTGTTCAAACTAGCTCGGGCCCTGCTTACAGAATAAAATGGGTTGCTTTTCAAGTTAAGTTTTCACAACGGAAGTAGGAACGTCTCATCCTTCAGATTAAAGCTCAGTAAGTTCAAAATCTTTATAATCGAGTAAGGTGACTGAACCATGAGAAGTTTGCCTTACTCAGGTAAGGAATCTTTCCAAAGCTAACTCAACATTTTTAAAGTGACTTCTGTCAAGCTTTGCACATAATCATTTAATGAAATTTAAATGTGTACTTAAGTGTGAATAGTGACAGAAGAGACATGGTTTAAAATACACCATAAAACAGATAGTTTTACATGAAAGACATGTCCATTAGTGACAGACATTTATTTTAGAATTAAAGCATCTCAGCATACAGTGAACAGAGAATAAAACAAACTTTCTGGTTGCTTAAGGAAATAAGTAGAAATACCTTACTGTCAAGCTTTAACATGACTCTTCCAAGCCCTCTGATAGGCCGTGGAGCAAGAGCTTCCTGACGTTCCTTCACAAAATTTTCAACAAGTTGCCACCAACTTTTGCAATGGTTTGCCATGAAGTTCAAAACTCCAAAATGAATCACAAGTTTTTTAAGTGCCCAAACTGTAACCACAAGAAGGAAATCAAGTATTAGAGATTTCAGAGGAGCACGACAAGACTACCTACCTACTCCATTCTAAAAGACTTATAAAAAAAAAAGAAATTCTTGAGTTTTATTTCCCACTAGAAACCACTTTCAGAATTTTCAAGTGGTTTTAGTACTAATCTCATTTGCTTTACAGCCATGCTTCACAGATGTGGGTTCTGAAAGTAACACGAGAAATGTCTAGCATTAGAGTTACAGAAATAAAAGCTCATGTCCATTTACTTGCCATGAAATAAAGTCCACACACTTTTGCATAAGGCTTATGGTTCGAAAGCTGCGATGGCACTGCTCTCCCTCATTTACTGAGTGTACGTGCAAAACTTGTAAATCATCACAATCAGGAATGTAAAAGCAAAAAAGCATGATGCATATGAAACTTCCCTTGGAAGCTAACAGACCTTTAATAGTAATGAAATATTTGCCATATTCTTTTTTTATCCAACAAAATGTTATACCACTCAAGTTACCTATCTTCTCATCACTGAAAAGGCAGGTGAGCAATCTTCCAAAGTCAATAGCAAATTTAACATCAGAACAGAGGAGTTAATACAAATCTTTGTTTATAATGTGAATTAATTACAACTGATTTTACTGGAGCATTGATGCAAACATACCAGTCACAAAAACATCCCTACATGATACATCAACTTAAAGGATCATAATTATTATATGTACCAGTAGGTCTCACAACCTGGTCCTGCCATGACCTACTGACACACAAACCTCTAAACAAAAGCATACTGCATCCCCAAATACTGAAAACCATGGTTCTAAAGGAAACAAAATGAAACTTTTAGCAATAGAATCACATAACTCTCCTAGATTTTCCCTAATTTTTTTTTTAACCAGAATTTAGTAACAGTGAACATCACATGTAGATCAAAAATTACAGATGGTGTTAAAAATTCTACTTACACAGTAAAATAACTTTCTGTGAAAACATTAGCAGAGCTCCTCCAATTATATAGTACTTATAGCAACATTTGATACTAAATTCCCCATCATTAGATCCAACTGTACTTTTAATAAAGCTTTTTTTTTTGTTACGAAAGACTATTCTCCAAACTTGATTCATTGCTTACTGCCATACATCAACACCACAATAATTCCCTCGTCCTCAAAAATTCACATCATGCTTCTACTTGGACAGCTGTAAAATGACATACAGAGTCGAAAAGGTTAACTTTTAAAATCCACAGGACATTTACCAAAGTTCCACAAGAGCCCATTATTTGTAAGCCGCTTGTGCAACAGTTTACATTCTTGTTCATGGAGAGCTCATTCAACGGTTTTCTGATACTTGGTTTACTTACCCTCTGGCACCACCATGTGGCAAACATGGGATTCTCTTGCAGACAGAGAATAATCTAATAATCTTTCTACAGCAGATCATGTGGCAAACATACAAAAAAGGGGAAAATACAGTGCAAGTGCCAGCACTTAACTTGCAGGTTGAAGTTTTGTATGACGAAATGCAACTCATGGTAAATATACAAAATGCTGCTCAGCAAAACAGGGCAAGCTTGCATTTTACAAGGTGAACAACATACCTGGAATGGCATTCTAACCTTCTGCTATTATTTAAAAATAAGTATTTAAATACTATCCTCTAAAATAACTGGGTGTACGCTCATTACAAGATGACACCAGGAGGTGCTACAGTCAATCACACAGCTGTAGTTATATTATGTTAAAAAGAAGCAAGAGAGAAAAAGCTAGAGGATGACTGTTATTGGAAAGATATGAACAAAAGAAGAGAAAGGCTGCATAGTAAGAAATTCCAAACATCTCTAGGATGCAGAAAATGACCTGAAGACAAAAATAGAACTTAAAAAAAAAAAAATGCAACAGAACAAGAAAGGAAGTAAATGAAAGATCTTAAAAAGAGACAATAACAGGATTCCCACGCTCACATCACTGAGCAAAACGCTGCAAAAGTGTTCCACATCCTCATTTATTGCTTAGCTTTTGAATTCAGAAGTCATTTTTTCATCTTTTCATTTTATGGTATAATTTTTCCACCCTCTACATTAAGCAATTTTAAAAGAGCATCTCATTCTACCGAAGTACAAATGCATTCAAGGAAAAATGTTAATGGTACCAATATACTTCTAATAATCTAAATGTTACTTCATGTAGGTCTTGTCTACTAATACAGGGGACTGGTGAAATTAACATCCTTCTATTTAAGGTTTTAGGGGTGGTTTTTATTACTTTTATTTCTACATACTAGAAGCATTCTCCTGAAGGTCTCAGAAATGCTTAAAGCTATTAGTCTCCTTAAACTTGAAAAGTCACAAGGAAACTTGCTTTATAAGTCTTACTATTTTCCAGTACTAAGTATTTTTAATACCACCTCTCTTTCTAAAATCCAGGTTATCATTCACTCTCTGACACTTAATGTGGTCCACTTAATGAACACTTAACGTGTTCATCATTATACTGTTTTTTCATAATATTCTTGTGGTGATTGAGTTATATTCAGTCATATGCCAAGAAAAAGCACTTAATTGCCCAGTGTTACTCCTAAGGCAACAGGTCACATACAGTCTTAAAACTAATTTCTAGTTTAGCGTGAATTTATTGCTCACGTAGCTAATTTAGACCTAGTGACTGGTAGCAGGAGCATTCATCCATTTCAGCTACAGATGTGCACTTTAATCTACATTTGTCTGGCTCAAGTTTAAAACCAGCCATTGTCGTCTGCCTAACTGCACAACTATTACACCTATTTTTCCTCCCACCCAGGTAGGTATTTCTAAACACTGGTTAAGTCACTCCCTCACTTTTCAATAAATTAAGCCACTAAGCTCTGCTTCTAGTGAGTCTAAAATTTATCTTCTAATCCCTTTATTATTTTTATAATGCGTTTATAAGCTATATCCAACCTGCCATCACCATTTCCCATGCTGCCCAGACATCAAAACTGGGCAGTTTCTTCAGTAGCAACTACACAGGACTGAAACAAAGATCAAACCCCTCTCTCCTCTTACCCTGTATTCAGCATTTATACACCTAATCATCACACTACCCTTTAGCTGCTGCTACAGTGCCACAGCCAAACGTGCAGCTGTTCCTTTCACCGTGCCTCTCAGAGTTCAGAGCCCCTCGAACCTGTAAGCATGGCCCCACAGTCCCAATGTCCAGATTTCCAGAATTGGACTTTGTGTATTGGGTGTAAATTGCAAGGTTTTGGTAGCAGGGTGGCCGCTGGGGTGGCCTCCATGGGGAGAGACCAAGGGGTGCCCTGCACCAGACACAGTCTGTTCGGGCTGACTCCACAACAGACCCACCACAGGCCAAAGCTGAGCCCATCAGGCATGGCTGTGAAAATATATTTAAGAAGGGCAGAGAACACTAGAGAGTGAGAAGAGGAGGGAACACAGAGCAAGTGAATAGAGTGGAAGAGGGAACAGAGGGATGAACAGAGGGAATAAAAAGGCCAGGGGAGTAGAAGTGCTCCATGGTGGAGCAGGCACACCACTCTGAGGGATTGCGGCCTATGGACCCATGCTAGAGTAGGTACATCTCTTGAAGGGACTGCCTAGGGATGAGGAGATGCCTGAGCTGGTACTTCCCGAAACGGACTGCTGCTCATGGATGAGCCCACACTGGAAGACAGGAAAAGAGTGAGTGGCTCTGTGGGTACTTGGCTGCTAGTTGGGGCCAACCCACCACACCAGGTAAAAGGGAACATAGCTACATTTAAGTGTTAAATACATTAAAAAATGCAGAAAACTAGCATTTTAACTGAAGTTTAGAGAAAATCCAAGCAAATTAGGAAACTCACTTTGTTTACAGAAGGGGGATTGGAGGAAATGCCTTCAGATTCATAGTAGCTCATGCGTATTTCCTGAGTTCCCATCTTCCCTATTCAGCCCCCAAAAGAGTATTGGAAAAAGTAGCATTCAGTTTTAAAATAACCTCTTTAGATAGCTATCATAACTACTCAATTCTTGCTTGATATATAAGAGAACAGATGCATGTAGATGTGAAGCAACAAAGCTAATTAACCCCAGAGCTAGAATTAGAACCAAATTTATCTTGCAACTTGTCCACAGAGCCTAGCAACCCACTTTTCATGGAAATTAAAAGGTAGCACGAGCTGTACTTCAGTACTGAATAACAGCTAAAATATTCTTTATCTATAGGTGCAAAAACATGAAAAGACAAGACATAAAGAGGAATAAAAACAAAGTACTCCAAACCAAAAGCATTCTTACAATGAAAGGTATGGCACTAAATTATTCCAGGTAACCACAACAGTTGACAGACAAAGCAATTTTACAGGCTTGTCCACTACATGGTAACAGACAGTGCACTTCAATCTTCCTATTTGAAGCTACAATTCATCAAGAACATAATAATGTTCACGAACATTATGTTCCTGATGTTCCTAACAAAAAATCTTGGAAAAGTTTTAAATTAAAACTCATAAAAGCCTACAAGCCTTTCCTTCTGTTTTATTTAACACAAAGCCTAAGGCTATCCAAAGTCAACATTTAACATACATTTCAAATAATTGCATTATTACCTGCAAAAGGCACTGGCAATAGCTGCACAATCCAGAAATTTAGCCAGATCTGGACAATGACAATGGCCCACACAAGTGTAACAAAGTAAATATCACTAGTTTTCTTTTTTCTAAGAAAAGATCCAATCTCAGGTCTTTGTCTGCTCCCAGAAGAGGATGAAGAGGAGGAGAAAGATGATGAAGCATGCGGAGGCTGATCACCTTCTGTTGATCCTAAAACAAACAAATGCAAACAAAGAAGTGGAAATTATCACATTAATGTTCACCACAGAAGACAATATGCTCCCTAGTCCCTAGAACAAGGCTGTGTATGCTCTGCCACATCATGCAACACCATGCCAAGCAGTGCCAGGAGAAGGAGAGAAGAAAAGATGCCACAGCCTCTAAGAGGCCTCCTGTTACTGCAGGCAAATTACAAGTCAAATACATTTTATCAAATAACCTTAAAACCCTGAAAAACACAAAGTGTAATTCACTTCTAAAAGAAATCTAAAGTCTTAAAAGAAATCTTTTACTTCTATTTCAAATACTCAAAAAGAAAGAAATCTTAGATTTGCTCAAAGCTCATTTAAGCAAAACGAAAAAATACAGCACATATTCAAGAGGAAGCTTGTATCTTACAAATGTCTTATTACACTTTTTCTTTTCCCAAACACTCACATTACAAACATAGCACTCACACTGTGATCCTAAATGACTTGTTTGTGTAACGTATTTTAGTAACATCAGCAAGCATAAATTAGTCATTAACAAATGTTGTCATTGTCTCATTCGTAAGTTAGTAAACATGAAATTAATTTCAAAAATGTGAACTGATGTGTTAAAGGCACTTATAAACAAACAGCAAATAGTCATTTCAGGCAAAAATATTACATCCAAATTAAAATTCTTGTATAGAGAACATAGTAATTTATTCATTTAACTTTTTATTTGGCACATCTGCCTAGTATCAGACTAGTCTGCTTGACACCAAATCCATCACAGTCACTGTATGTAGAATCTCTTCCTGACACCACCAGTATCAACTTTTACTGAGGCCTCACGCTGATGGTGAAATACACATACTTCCCACTCACCATTACTTGAAAAAAATTTGCAGCCATGGTGGAAGAACGCACACACAAGAAAACCTGAAAAGTTACTCTACGCTGAAGAATAAAAGGCAATTTGTTATGTTGGTACGTACTGCAGCAGGTAAGCAATGAACACAACTCTTTCACTGGACTTGTGTCACATCAACACCAACCACTTTCCTGCCATAAACAAAAACTGCTGTAAAAACTGCGTTACAATATACTACATGCACATGAATCAAACAACTCACGTTCCACGCAGGTGGGTTTTAACTGCAATGTGTTACTAAAGCCCATCCTAGCCTAAAGCATGACAGCTAGAACGTAAAAAAGACAAGACAGATTTGTCATACATGTACAGTAGTGGCAAGTGACAAATTCTGCAGCCTCACACACTAGATGAACACTCTTCTTCTGTTGTGGAAATCTGCACTGGTGTTCTACAAGCAAGTGGAACTATTTTTAGAGCTTATCAACACTTCCCCACCACACTAATACAAATAACACAGATCTATTGATTCAACCAATTGATAGACACCAGCACGATGACAGAAACATGAGCTGGTTGCTGGTAGCATATTTGGCAGAACTTTTTTCCACTTTTGGTGGAACAGAATATTCCCAATACAACCTGCAAAAAGGAACTCTGCAAGCAGCTGAACACAGCAGCAGCTTCAGGTGTAGTGCTTCTTGGCAAATCACTTCATATCTCAAAGGGATGAAGGCCAGCCCTGTCATATACAAACTACACATTGGAGAAAAAGACACAAGTTATTTTTTCGTAAGGGGAGACAAAGTTACCTGTAAACAGCAGCTTTCCTAAAAAGACAGACAAAGTGGTTTTGCCATAAGAAATAGAGAGTCTATCATTCCTCTGTACTTCTCAGTCTATTTTTAACGAAGCAGAATAATAACAGAAAAAAATGGATCCAGCTTACAATGCACTAAAGAATCACAAATTTGAAAGCAGTATATCCATAATTGAGAATTCTCCCCTAACAATTCAACTTAACACTTTTCACTTTTTTCCCCTCCAACATTAATATAATAAACATAAGAAGTAACCTGACAACAAGCAGAAACTCAAATATTTATCAAAGGGAAGGAAGTGCTAAAAGTCAAAATAGAAAAAACAGAAGAATTTAATATGCTGAAGCCTATACCTCAAAAATAAAGTCATCCAACACTTTTTGCCCCCAAAGCCCTTAGTAAAGTCACTTTTATGAAAAAAAAAAAAAAAAGTATATTCCTTCTTTCGGTAATGAAAAATTTGATCAACATGATTTTGCAATGAAAAAATTAAATAAGAGCAAAAGTAATGTTAAGAGTAGTACCAATTAAACCGCCTCATTCTCTTACAGTTTCCCTATTAACTTAAGCAGACTGTACATAGAATGCAAAACACAGATAGGAGAGAACTGACAGGAAGAAAAAAAAAAAAATTAAAAATAGACTAAAAATTCCTAGGGGATCCCAAGACAAGAAGTTCCCATGAAGTTCAACAAGGCCAAATGCAAGGTCCTGCACATGGGTCGTTGCAATCCCAAGCACAACTATCAACTGGGCGAGGAATGGATTGAAAACAGCCCTCAGGAGAAGGACTTGGGGGTATTGATTGATGGGAAGCTCAACATGAGCCAGCAGTGTGCGCCTGCAGCCCAGAAAGCCAACCGTGTCCTGGGCTGCATCAAAAGAGGTGTGACCAGCAGGTC